AATCCCAACATTATGACCATTTTCGCTGATAATGTTAAAGTTGAAAACATTTGAAGTGTACTAAATTCCAAGTTGGGTAGGGCAACTGGATCTGGAGTACAAAAATCTGCATGATCACTAGAATGGCAGGAAGGAGTTAGCATATGCTGTACCACTTTGCTGCCATTTAGAAGTCATTTGGATTTTTTGAGCACCTATCTAGTAACCTAAAGATGGAAATCAGAAAGTTAATGTATTTTACCTATCACCTAAGAATTAAATATCTACCCACAATGACAATTATTGATAATTTTAGTCCCACCAGACTTTTAAGAGTTTCAATTAAAAATATTAATAAAATAGAACTATTTTATTAAGCAAATCATGGTTTAATAGGTTATGTCTATTCAGCCAATGGTTTCCTCAGTGTTCCCCTCTTACATTACAGAGCTATTTCTTGAATATTACGCTGTTCGCGTAAGCCTTTGCACATGAATTCATAGGATGTATTTAATCTACACATGCAAAATACTAACATTTTCCTAATGTTTGTTCATTCCCATTTGTAAGAATGCAATATATTTGAAAATGTAGCTTTAGTGGATTAAATTCTCCTTTTTCCTGAGTAATTGAATATCATGCTGAGGAATGATATTTCAGAATTTAAGTTCATTTGCAATATATTTCATTGCCATATCATACCTGATTCTTAACTTTCCCAAGAAAATGTAAGGTAGAAGAGCCAAATGAAATCTAATGTATTAATAAAGCATGCCATTTAATATTATTAAAGCATAATTTTTCCTCTTTAGAGGCCTTTAAAAGAGGCTCAGTTTTTTACTTTGTAATATAAAATCATAAAAGGTATAAATTTTCAAGCAGCAGCTGGAAAAATTAGGTAGCCACATGCTGTGAAGAACAATAAGATGTTGGTTTTGAAAGGCAAATGAAGGGGAATATGAGTAGGTATAAGTGCTAATAGGAGCCCAGATGTATTTACCTTTTCTCAACTTATATTTGCAGTTGGGCAAATTGCCACTCCTGCAAATTTTACTCATTTTATTAGGAACACAGCAGCCCACTGTCATTCTCTGTAGTAAATCTAGCTCTGACCGTCTTTAATCCCTACTTTGGATTTTGGGCCAGCCTGTTGTATACATTCAGCTTTGTGGTTTGTTAAACATTGTTTATGGTTTAGTGTGATATTTGAACTCAATTATTTTGACTTATTTAATAAATCAAATTTTCACATGATACATGAATCCAGCCAAAGATTTACTTCTATTAGAGAATAATAAAATGAGAACTTGAGGTCTTTATTTTTGTAGCTGGAGAAGCTGACTCAGCTCTTTGAGGACGTCTTTATTTTTGTAGCTGGAGAAGCTGACTTAGCTTTTGAGGAGCATAAGGCCAAGTACGGGCTGTCCCAAGACAAGCACCTAACGATCACCTAGCCGGCCACACAGGGCCAGCCTGGGACACGGAGGGGCAACATTTTTAGAGAATGTTTGTTGTGAGTATGTGTATGTATGCAGATGAATGGTTGCCCTGTTAGGTATAAATTTTATTATTGTATTTAGGGCGTATGAATGTGAATTATCTTTTATATACATTAATTGAATGTGAATGTGTATTGAGTGTCTGTGGTAGGAGAATGGTAGAGTCAGGGGCGGAGCCTGATGCCCCCTCTGCTGAGTGCAATAGCAAAAGTGGGGGGGCAGGACTTACCCTTGGGCTTGGTGTCCATGGAATGCTAGTCCGGTCGGGAAGGGAGAAGGTTGGTGAGGGTAGGGGTACTCCGGGGATGGGAGAAGGTCGGAGCATCCCGGTTATGACTGGGATGGGCAGATATGGCGGGAGCCGAGGGGCAGGCCATTTTCGGGGAACGAGGACTCGCTATATTAGAGTGATTCCTTGTTCCGGCCCCTCAAAAGGCCCATCCTGTAGTACTGGTGACAGGGGAGTACAGGGCCCTAGTTGTAGGCTGCTGTTGCTTAATGCCAGGTCCATTGTCAACAAAGTCCCCCTTAATGCCAGGTCCGCCCCTCTATTGGACAGGGGGGCGGACCTGGCATGTATAATCGAAACCTGGCTGGGCCCTGAGGGGGGTGTTTCCCTCTCGGAGATGTGCCCGGATGGGTTTGTGGTGCTTCATCAGCCTTGACATCAGGCAGGGGTGGGGAAGTGGCAGTCATCGCTCGGAGGTCCCTGAGTCTTCGTGGGATTCCTGCCCCGGAGATTGTTGGGTGTGAGTCCCTCCTATTGAAGTTGGGTTCATGGGTTCAGTTGGGCTTGTTGCTGACGTACCTACCTCCCAGCTGTGTTGCAACAGCCCTGCCTGCGCTGCTGGAGTCAGTAGCCAGGTTGGCGGTGGAGTTCCCCAGACTTATGGTACTGGGGGACTTTAATCTGCCATCACTCGGCAAACGCTCAGAGGTGGTGCAAGAGTTCATGGCTTTCATGACAACCATGGACCTGACCCAGGTAATCCAGGATCCGACTCATAGGGGTGGTCACACGCTCGACCTTGTGTTTCTCTCGGGGCAATGGAGACATGATCTGGAATTAAGGGGAATAGAGACCTCTCCCTTGTCATGGACAGATCATTTCCTATTGAGGCTGGACTTCAGAGCATCACTCCCCCACCGTAGGGAGGTGGAGCCGATTAGGTGGTTCCGCCCCAGGCGCCTAATGGACCCAGATTGGTTCCAGGAGGAGCTTGGGGAAATACCTGACTCCCTTGTCCACAACTCGTCCGGGTCCCTGGTTGCGGCCTGGAATGAGGCGGCGTCCGGGGCCCTGGATCGAATTGCGCCTTTGCAACCTCTCTGTGGTAGTGGTCCCCGGAGGGCGCCTTGGTTTACTGAGGAGCTCCGGGAGATGAAGCTCCACAAGAGATGTCTAGAGTGACGTTGGAGGGCCAGTAACTCTGAATCTGACTGATCACTATTAAGAGCCTATCTTAGGACTTATTTAGTGGCGATAAGGGCGGCAAAGCGTGTTCACTTTTCCACACTTATTGCGTCCGCAGAATCTCGCCCGGCCGCCTTGTTTAGGGTGACCTGCTCCCTTCTTAAAGTGGAGGAGGCGGAGGAACCCTTGCAGGGGAGAGCTGAGGAGTTTGTTCAGTTTCTCTTGGACAAAATCGCTCAGATTCAGAGAGACCTGGACTCTGACTGGGCAGTGCCAGCCAAGATGCTGGGGGCTGGTCTTAGTCATGTTATCTGGAGCGAGTTTGATCCTGTGACCCCTGATGAAGTGGACAAGGCCGTGAGGGCAATGAATGCCACCACCTGCTTATTGGACCTGTGCCCCTCCTGGCTGGTTTCTGCCAGTAGGGAGGTGACACGAGGCTGGCTCCAGGCGATAATCAACACCTCCTTGATGGAGGGGTCTTTCCCGCAACCTTTGAAGGAAGCAGTGGTGAGGCCCCTCCTCAAGAAGCCTTCCCTGGACCCAGCTGTTTTGAAGAACTTTCGTCCTGTCTCCAACCTCCCCTTTGTGGGGAAGGTTGTAGAGAAGGTGGTGGCGGCGTCCCAACTCTTGAGATCCTTGGATGAAACGAATTATCTGGACCCTTTTCAATCTCGTTTCAGGCCCGGCTACAGCACTGAGACTGCTTTGGTCGCACTGACCGATGACCTCTGCCGAGCCCGGGATAGGGGTCATTCCTCTATCTTGGTGCTTCTTGACCTCTCAGCGGCTTTCGATACCATTGACCAGGGTATCCTTCTGCGTCATCTCGGAGAGGTGGGGGTGGGCGGCACCGTATTGCGGTGGTTCTCCTCCTACCTCTCTGACAGGTCGCAGTCGGTGTTGGCGGGCGGACAGAGATCGACCCCTAGGTGCCTCGATTATGGGGTGCCTCAGGGCTCGGTTCTGTCCCCCCTCCTTTTTAACATCTACATGAAACCGCTGGGTGAGATCATTCGGCGACACGGGGTGAGGTATCATCAGTATGCGGATGATACCCAATTATATATCTCCACCCCGTGTCCTTTCAGTGAAGCAGTCGACGTGATGTGCCAGTGCCTGGAAGATGTGAGGGTCTGGTGGGGGTGAACAGGCTTAGACTCAACCATGACAAGACCGAGTGGCTCTGGGTCTTGCCCCCCAAGGGTCATCCTGATGATCCATCATTAGTCCTGGGGGGGGGGAAATTTACCTCCCTCAGTGCAGGCACGCAACTTGGATGTCCTCCTGGACTCACAGCTAAATTTGGAACAACATCTATCAGCTGTGGCCAGGGGGATCTTTGCCCAGGTTCACCTGGTGCACCAGTTGCGGCCTTATTTGGACCGGGAGGCTCTACTCACGGTCACTCATGCCCTTGTCACCTCAAGACTGGATTACTGTAATGCACTCTACATGGGGCTACCCTTGAAGAGCGTTCGGAGGCTGCAGTTGGTTCAGAATGCAGCTGCGAGAGCGATTGTGGGTGCACCAAGGTACGCCCACGTGTCACCTATCCTCCGCGAGCTGCACTGGCTTCCTGTGGGTCTCCGGACGCAATTCAAGGTGCTGGTTATCACCTTTAAAGCCCTTCATGGCTTAGGACCAGGTTACTTACAGGACCGCATACTGCCGCATAGTTCCCAGAGACCAGTGAGGTCCCACAGATTGGGCCTCCTTCAGGTCCTGTCGGCCAGACAATGTCAACTGGCAGGCCCTCGGGGAAGGGCCTTTTCTGTGGTGGCTCCGACCTGGTGGAATCAACTTCCCCCCGAGATTCGAACTACTCCCACCTTGCCGGCCTTTAAGAAAGCCATTAAAACTCTCCTGTTCCTGCAGGCCTGGGGTTGATGTCCCCGGGGGGGGGGGCAGGATACGATTGGGTATATGAATGCACTTATTTTATTGTTTTATTGTTATATTTATTGTTTTAATTTTGTATGCCACCCTGAGTCCCTAGGGATTGGGCGGCATATAAATTTTATAAATAAATAAATAAATAAATAAATAAATATATCTTTTAAGTTTTTCAAAGTTTTAGCTTTGCTCAAATTTTATTGCCTTTTCAGGTTCGTGGAAAGAAAGGTGAAGTGCTTTATGTTCTGGATGCTAGCAATCCAAGGCATTCTAACTGGTTGCGTTTTGTACATGAAGCACCATCTCAAGAACAAAAGAATCTGGCAGCTATCCAGGTAAATTTATCCAATTCTTATTAGATTTCCAGTTCAGTGTTCCATGTCTATTCATTATATGGTATAGCTTATTGTCTAATAAGTGACTGTAGGGTGGCGGCCATAAGCTTAGTAAAGTGGTAAGCAACTAATGGTATCTGTATACCATTAGCTCACACTATTCCTGGTGATTCCTGAATGCTACTTGAGAATAACAGTGCTTAGAATTGAATATTTTTAGGGACCAGAGTTTTTGAGAATTGGAGTCTAGTAATATCCTTGTGTTATAAGTTTCTGTCCCAGCAACGTAGAATTCGGTTTTATATAAGCAAATAGGGATTAATTAAGTACAGAAATATTATACAGCATGTCCTCTTAAGGTTCCTGAACAAAGAATCCTTGCAGGAAAAAAAAAATCAGAAGCCACGATAGGACAATATTTTTATTTTAAAAATCAGAAGCCACGATAGGACAATATTTTTATTTTTGAGTAAGTACATGTCACAAATATTCAATATGCAGAATATTATATGCTAAACAGATTTTAATTTGTGGCTCCTCTTACTTCCAGAACCAAAATAGGAGACATTCCTTGCATCTCTCACTGTGATTTCCTTTTGGTGTCTTTTTTTTATTGTAAATGCTATTCTGTTATTCCAGGTATAAATAGAGCCATTGGAACAGAAATATAAGACCTCAAAATAAATAATTTGGGAAATTATTTTACAAACAGAGGTCAATAATACTATATTAGGAGTCAGGGAGATTTTATTCTAAAATGTTTTTGTAATGTTTAAAGTATGTTGGATATGGAGCAAATTTAAATTCGAGAACATGTGATGAGTTCATGAAGATGGGTGTCCTGGCTGCAATTTACATATTTACAAAATGATAATTATACAGAGTGTCCACTCACAAAACAATAATTTATCAAACAACTCTTCCAACTTACCTTACTTTTTTCGGGCAGTTGAGTAAATTTGAAACAATATTTTTGCTGTACTTTTCCAAGCATAACTAACAACTTTCTTTATAATATTAGTTAAAACTATAATTCCTTTTTTAGATTGGAAAAAATAGAGTGGATGTTAGGGGATGGTGGCAGCAGTGAAATAAGGAATTCTAATTTTTTCAGGTTCAAAGTCACTTATGTAGAGTTTATATAGGTAGTATGTTTTAAATTGAAATCTCTCTCTATAATAAAACTCATGTGCTTGATGACTTTTGATGCTGTATAGCTCACATTTTTCTATCATATCAAGTAGTAGGTTATGATCTACATTATCAAATGCCTTAGTGAAGTACAAATAAATTATATCCACAGCATTTCTCTAATCCACTAATTTTGTCAATAATTATTGTCCAGTGTTGTCAGTTGTCCGCAATACTACTGCAACATTAAACGTTCAATCTTTTATCCTAAAACTATTGGTCAGTGAACCATAGTACTTTTTTAAAAACTGTGATTTTTGTTTGCTTTATTGAGCTTTCTAACATGCTATATTTTGAATAACGTATATTCCAGTTTCTTTTCTGCTTTCAAAAAATGATGCATGCTGACAACTACTGTATTAAGAATGGTCCTAAGCATCTCAACCCTCTTTATAAACAAAATCATGGTCAACTCTTTATATTTAAGCATTGATCATTAACCACCCAATATATTGGTTGTCTGGATAAGCTCTGAAAATTGGAATAGGGAAAAGGCAAAGGTTAATGGAAAAAGAGATATTTACTGTGATGCGATGGAGTGTTTTAAAGTCATACTTACAAAATATTTAACAAACGTAACTATGGAAGATTAGTATCTGAAAATCAATTAACAATATAATAAATCTAGTATAACTGGTTTATCTCTCAGACTAAAGAGCAGAGGATAATTGGATTGGAGAAGAGACACAAAGATCACAAAGCACAAATACTTTTTGTTAATGTAGCTTTTATATATTTGCATATCATAGAATCATAAGATTGAAAGAAACCTTGGAGGTATTTTAGTCCAACCCCCTATCCAAGACAAGAATCCTTGTACCATCTCTGGGAAATATAAGACAAGTTTCAGAAGATGTCTTTAATATCAGATCTTAAATTAACAAAAGACCCAATAGATGGTATGAGGTATTCAAAAGAAGTGTTTTGCAATTCAGAGAAGTGTAAAAAAAGCATCCCATTTTGGAATAGTTAAACACAGTTCCACAATTTGAAAGGATTAAGTGACTATGTAGGATTTTTCTTCTGGCTATTTTCATGTGTATTCTTCTGTGAGAGACTGCAAAGCACTCCTTTTAAACCTACTAAATCTACTGTGTTACCCCCTGGAAAGAAAATAACAGATGGTAGCTGTGACTTAAAGGGCCTTTACACACTTTTGGTTGTAGGCCAGTTGTGCCCATTCCTGAGGCAAGAGTTTCTTCTCACTGTCATTCATGCTTTTGGACATCTTGTTTGGACTACTGCAACATGCTCTACATGGGGCTGTCCTTGAAGAGCATTTGGAAGCTTCAGCTGATACCGAGTGCTGCTGCATGTGTTGTAAATGATGGTGACTATTTGGTACATGTAACATCATTGCTTCATGGTTGCCATTGTGTTTCCGGGTGCAATTCAAGGTGCTGGTTGTCACCTTTAAATCCCTGAGGGACTGTTTTCTTCTTTTCCCTTCTCTTCTTATCCATCCAATCCAGTTAGCAGAATAGGCATAATTCAGGTCCCATCAGCTAGCAGGGAGAAAGAGGTGTGCATTGTCTGCTATAGCCCTGCCCTCTGGAACATCCTTCCTACTAAGATTAGAATGGCCTTGACGCAGTTGCCTTTCAAAAGGTCTTGAAGACCTGCTTGTGGGCCTGGGCCTCTGGACCTAAGTGTGTTCAAAGTGATAGAATGAGGAATTAAATAGGTCAGGATGCTCTCAGATTTTGAGAATCACCCATTTCCAGAAATTAACTTCTAGGAAAAATTATCATTCAGACAATCATTTGCCTGAAATGGTATAGGGCAGTGGTTCTCAACCTTTTTAATGCCGCGACTCCCCAACTGGTCGTAAGTCAAGGACTACCCAACCGGTCATAAGTCGAGGACTTTCCCTGCCCAGGAGTGCCGTGCATGCATGGTGCTGCCCCTGCGCCAGCCGAGGCGTAGCTGGCAAGCGGCAGAGACGGAGCAGGCCGACCACTGGCTGGGCCACTAGCTGGCCCAGCCCAAGGGAGTTAAGGCACCCGCCAGGCCCCACGCGCACCAGCAACCCTCCCTGCGCCCGCCGACTTTCCACCCCTGGCCCTCTTTTACTTACATTTTTAGTAATTGCTCAGCAGGGAGGGATGGAAACTTCCAGACAGCTCGCCTTCGCTGCAGACAACTTGCAGCACTATTTGCAGAATGGGACTTTTGGCGGGCTCAGCAGGGCAGAGACAGCCTGGACAATTCCTATTGGCTTTTGAAAGCCAATAGAATTAGACTCTATTCAAGAGAGTCTATTCTATTGGCTTTCAAAAGCCAATAGAATAAAAGGGAGTAGCATAGCTAAGGAAAAGGGGGAAAAATGGCAGACTGCGTTGTTTGGCGACCCCCGTGAAATGGTCATTCGACCCCAAATGGGGTCGCGACCCACAGGTTGAGAACCGCTGGTATAGGGTTTCTTTCCTACTTGAGCAGTGGGTTGGACTAGCAAATCTCCAAGGTCCCTTCCAATTATGTTATTCAGTTATTCATTCTGTCATACAGTTTGATTCCCCAAAATCAAAGTTTGCTACCGTGTTTACCCATAAATAAATTGCATTTATCATTGGATATTTATTGAATTGCTATTATGATTTTTTAGCATTCAGCTACCTTTAGTTTTGTCTTACTTATTTTTTTTTTGCTTAATGTAATATGATTGTTTTCTAAAGTTATATTACTATGTTGGTTTATATTTAATCCTGGAAAATAATTATAAGACTAAGGCAAAAATAAAAGTTGTAATAATTTCAATGTTTTAATTGTTTCTTGGTGATTCAAAAAACTTGTTTGTTTTAGAAATAGATTTAATAATGAATTTCTAAAATAATTTTTTTCTCTAACAGGAAGGAGAAAACATTTTCTATCTAGCTGTTGAGGATATTGAAACAGATACCGAACTTTTGATTGGTTATCTTGATAGTGATATGGAAGAAGTGGAGGAAGACGATGAAGAGGAAACCATTATTAACCAGGAAGAAGAGGATAGCAACAACAACAGTAACGGTACTCATAAGGATTTGCAGCAAACTAATGAAAAAGGTATGGATGAATAATTTAAAAAATCCATTTATGTTTAAAAATATATCTTGATAAGAAGAAGAATGAATGGGTACTGAATGAATGTGAACTGAATGCAAAAATGAGTGACCAGTACAAAAGATGTATGTTGAACCAATTCGGCTACAGGCAAAATGAGCAAGATTGAAATCAGAAAGCAAAATTTCAGGGAACAGTGAATGGGTCAAAAGAAAAGGGAAGAGCAAGAGAATTGTGTTAGAATGGAGTTGATGCAATCTAAAAAAGAAAGAGTTCAGAAGTTTAAAGAACAAACCTTAATATATGAATTGATATATGAATATGTTGGGATCAAGAATGATTTGTAAAGTCAGAAATATGTAGAAAGGTATAGTGTATAGGGCTGATACAAACTCTGCTTACTCCATTTTTGTTCTTTTGTTCTTAATGTGACTTTACTTTTGATAAATGTTTCTTCTTTATTGCTCTTTGCATAGCATATAATGGATATGAATGTACGTTTCTGTACAAAAAAGATTATTATAAATATTATCTTCCTCCATCCAAAAATGATACTTATAGAACCTTAAGCTATTTGCATACACAATATTGTCATCCAGTTGTAATTCTTAATAAACATAATGGGAAATTATGAAAGATATAGGAAGCAATCATATTAAGTTGAATTTAATGTTATTTAGCTTTATCTTGTTTTCACATTTGTTTTGCAATCTTGCCTCTCGCACTGTGTTGATCTCTGCATGATAAAAGATGGTCAGCTTTCTCTTAGAACAGAACCTATTGCAATGTTTTCACAAAGAAACATTTTCTTTCTGGAATGTCTGTCTTTTCTCTACCATGTAGATTGTTCTACCTGTAAAGAGGACCATGCTTGTCCAAACTGTGAATCCAGTTTTGCAAGCCAGGAAATATTAGCTGAACACCTTCAGACACTGCATCAAAAACCCAGTGAAGAAAAAGAATTCAAATGCAGGAATTGTGGAAAGAAATTCCCAGTAAAGCAAGCTTTACAGAGGCAGTAAGTCTGTGGCATTTGAAACCATAAAGTCAGTAAGACAATACAGAAATATTTTTGCCAGTGAATGGTTTACAGACTAGAGCAAATTTAGTTTTTTACTTTATTAGGTGTTTCATGCACCTGTATACACATGTAATGTGAACGGGACAAAAACTATGGATACACAGAACATCATGAAGGCATGTAACAAGCTTAATCACCATCGCTTCATTGTAAGCTTATGGCTTTTGTATCAAAGCCAATGTAATATTATCCATTATTGTGGATGCTGTGATGTTAAATGCGCACAGCCATAAACAGAGTGAGCAAGATATTTTCATAAGTGAAATCCACCAGTGTATATATTATAAACAATAAGCATAAAAAATTGATAGTGACATTGGGCTGTCGGTTTGATTTCTGAGGTTGGCAATTTGGCTGCAGGTGTTTCATCTCCATTCAGGGGGACATCTTCATTATGCTTTGAATCGATAGTGACATTTTGCAAGCATTCAAGTTATTTTAAAAGTTGGGCTTGGGAATATAATTTTTTTTTAGTTTTTTAAAAAAGTATTAAATAAGTAATCTAACATAAGTGTTGTACATTAATTCCAGGAATTTATGCAAGTCATATAGCAGGATCCCTTACTTTTGGGGGGAAATATCCTTTTATTTACAGTCTGAGATGTATCTTTATAAAATACAAGTTTTTGTATATCATAGAAGCTAAAGTATTTATAGTTTTAGCATTTTATTTTTAACAGTTTTTACTTGAACTACTTTCTTTTAATTGAACTACTTTTTAAAAAATTATTAATACATTATTTTAAACTTGGTATCTGGATTTGCTGTTCATTATGAAAAACCAGTTGTATTTTGCATAAGTAAACAAATAAATCAAGACCATGTCCATTTTCGAATATATGACAGGTGGTCCTCAAGTTAGGATGGTAATGGGGCCTTTCCATCATGGTTGTAAACCATGATGGTTATAAATCAGGTCACCCATGTTGGTGACTCAGTTTTGTATATATATAAATACTGTAAGCATTTTTGTATAAGTAAAATGCAGAATAGATATGTGTTTCTTTATATAGGAGCAAAATCAGCCAGATTGCAAAAACAGTTGAAGATTGACTTGTTTGACTTGACATTTCTTTTCTCTTTCCTAACAGTGTCCTTCAGTGCACAGAAAATGTGAATCCAGGAAATTATTCAAGAAGTTTTCAGTGTTCTGTTTGCAACATATCCTTCAGCTCAGAATTGAGGTTCCCTGTCTTAATTACTGGACTACTCTCATCTTGCTGCTGACTCTTTGCATGTTTGCTTGCTTTAAGATTTTGTAGTTGCCTTGTGAACACTTAATTATGTGAGATGGAAAATGCTTTTGTCCCAACATGCAGTAAGTTATGCATGAAGTGGACTACAGGTCTGCTGCCCAGCATGTGCATTCAAATACCTGTCAAGATTACATTTCAAGGAGTAGATTTTTTGATGCCTTATTTTTCTCTTCTTCAATCACCTGACATCAGTTTTGAACAACACAAAGAAGCCTGCCGAGGTGATGCTAGGTTCGTATGCAAGGCTGAAAGCTGTGGGAAGAGGTTCAAGAGTAAGGATGCCTTGAAAAAGCACAAGGAAAATGTTCACACTGGTAAATAACATATTGGAATTGTCATTATTTCATCAGTTTTAGAATGCATTAATATATAGTTAAGGAAAGATTGTGGATTTTTTTTACAATTGTGGGAGCTACAATTCAAGGTTCAAATTCAGAGGAAGAAAATTCTGCATGCTAGTTTTTGTAAGAAGCCATGAGAGTCCATTATCATCATCAACATCATCTTCAAGGGTGCACTTGCGATGGTTGAGCAGTTGCTGATAGTGAAGCAGCATCGGAGACTCACCAGCATTTTATATCAAGGCCTGTTCATCCTTCTACATGTGGCCAAATGAACAGTATGGTCTAGAGAATGAAAAGTGGAGGGCAATTTCCCAAGATCTGTTTCTGAGAAGATAAACCTGTGGCAAGGTTTCTGCTCAGAATAATAGGTGTGTGGTTGCTCACCTTCCCCATTTTAATATGGGTCTGTTTATGATTACTATGTGTTGTTTTTACACTCCAAAAGTATACAGCTAATTGATTACTGGATATACAAATCAGATGATTTTAGTGTTTGTGTTCACATTTTGAAATTGTTTTTAAAGAACCTGGCAAAAATATATACCATGCCTTTATCAATTAGTCATGTGTAAGTTTCAGATGGGGGTATTTTCCCCAATTTTGTGAGCGTAATGTCACAGTGCAAGACCTACTTCTTTTCTAAACATATTGCAATATTGTATGTATACCTCAAAGGAGGAAAGCTTGCAACATGAAACTGCATTCATTAGGCTGATTAAACATACAGATGCTGAGTTCTTATAATGCTTTAGAAACGATGGGTGATAGCCTCCTGTTGAATAAATGGAAATTGTAAGGAGTGTAAGGCAGCCTGGCTTCAGGGAAAAAGCTCATGGAATGAGTAGACAGGGAGAGTTAGCAGAAGTTTGCCTGTAATAGGCACATTTGTGTTCTTGCTACCAAATAATGCAGAAAATATGTAAATGTGTAGCGGTCCTTGAACAAACTTCAAGGATAGGAGCAACAAGTGACAATATTTCAGTTCATGAGAAAGGATAAATGTCCATCAACCAAAACAAAGGGTTCTGCAACAAAACGGACAGTAAAATCATTATCCACACACAAGAAGACACAGAAATACTGGAGCAAGCCCAATGAATAAAGTAACAGCTAGAAGCTAATTACATGGGTGAAATAGGCTTTGTGTACTTGGGAGAAGGACAAGACAGCATGATTGAAGGATGCAGAAGATTAAAGGATGCAGAAGACAGATAAATCATGGTAGTTTGTAGTTTTCTACTATGAGGAATTGAATTAAAAACTGCATGCGAAATGGGCATCTGTGAAAGCAAGGATCAAGAACATGAAAGAAGAATGTCCATAATTTATATGTCCATAAAGAATGTCCATTTGTCCAATGACAAATGTCCTTTCCTGTGTATAGCACCATAGGGACTAAGATGGTAGTGTTATCTGTTCCTGCAATCAAAAGAAGAAGACCAGAAATGGAAGTAATATTGGAAGTCGGTAACTAGCTACACAAAATGTGTTGATATTTTGAAATATTTAGTTTCAACAAATACAACCTAGAAAACTAGATTCTTGGAGCCTTTGTAAGCAGTTTTTTTTGAAAGGGAAAACAAGTCATTTTGGGTACAGCAATCTTGACAATTACATTTATTTATATTTTATATATCTGTTAATTTTGTTAAAATGGAGTTTCCCAATCCTGTTAACTGCTTGTTGGTGTAATGGAGAGTTGCCTCCCATTTTCTAGATGAAAAAAATATGCAAATGTTATGATCTTATAATATTTTTCAAACCTTTACTATTTTTTCCGGACTCTGGAAAATTGAGAAATTTGTTAGATTGGAGATATCTAAATGGTGCTACTAAGTAGAACAGACCAAGGAATCAATTTCACAAGAAGGATAACATTGCTTTTATGGAGATTGGCTGTAATACCAGAATCTTGTAAGTCTTCCAGGCAAAAAATGATAAAACTGAAGATGACTCCACCTTCAGACAACGGCAGAATGAAGAACTGGCTACTCATAATTCCTCTCCGGAAAAGGAGAGGACATGAGATTGCCTACAAGTGTTCCAGGCAGTTGCAATTTGCAAGGAAGCCACAAGACAGTCTCTGAGGGGTTTAGAGCAATGGAGATGAGAGAATAGCCAGCTGACTCAAACTATAGTTGGCGCCTTCAAAAGGTTCACATACTTCTTTTTGCTTGTTGTATTTTAAGAAAATGTGATAAGTTATTACTAAAATTGTATATATTGCGATGAAGGGAGAAGTGTTTTTACTATATTTTTCTGTACCTATTTTTTTTTTTTTTAGTTTGTATTTTTTATCACTGTCATTTTTAATAAAATTACTATTAAAAAAGACTCTTGCAAGTCTGATTTTGCTGTGCTTTCTCTTGCTTCTTATACATTAATGAATTAGGGAGATGTTTGAACTGCTTTCCAATGATATGTCATTGTTCTGGACTTAGAAATGTTTTAGCCCCTTTTGCCTATGTAATGGTTCATACATATTTCCATCAACATCATCTTCCTTGATGATTTTACATGTTGTACATAGACCAGTAAAATGACCAAAAATATCTGTAAAATCATTTTGCTAAAGCATGGTAAGGCTGATTAGAAGGATTTTAATTTGAGCTCTATTGAATTTGTAAATTCAAAGACTTGAATCCTGTAGAAAGAGTAAGCTTTTTAAACAACCCAAATAAAAAGTTAGAAAGAATATTAAATACTGTAGTATGCATACTACAGTATAAGAAAGAAATGAGATGAACCTGAGATCAGATAAGATTTTGTAGGATTATGAAGACATTGTGGGATGATTCTCATTGCTGGAAGATAGCAATTGAGGATTTATCATTTGCTCAAATGGAACAGAAGTAACTATAAATGAATGAAAAAGTTGCATTGTATACTAAGAGTATCGATTCCTGCTCAGAAACCCATATGAATAAACTTGACAAGACAATATATAATATTTGGATTAAATAACAGAAGAATAAATATGATGAGTACTGTTCTTGCTGTTTAATATCATCCCCCTTACTAGGAATTGTGAATGATATTTTCCAAAAGCAAACTGCATATATTGTAAAGAGGCATAAAGCAGTAGTGATGGATACTTTAATTACCCCATCATGTTTACGTGACAGACTGCCAAGCTTCATCCTTTAAGATCTCCTGGCTTGTCTTTCCAACAGCTTTCTTCTTGCGAGATTAGAAGAGTGATTGACAATAATAGATAACTGATTAAATCCTTAGTTGAGTAACCAGGGGTAGTAGGAATATCAGGGTATCAAATTATGTAATGCTGGAAAGTTACTCACTTTAAGGGAGACTAAAACTAAGCATAGTCAAATGTATCACAGACTTCAGAAAATTGGATATAAAAAACTTGGCCCTGGTGTTATTTATTAAATATGTACCCTGTCTCAAGCAGCTCATAAGTAGACAATATAACAGTTAAAAGCTCATAAAATATCTTCCTAAAACCCTAACATAAAATAACAAAAATAGAAATGTTGCAATGCATTAAATCAAGAGAATGCCCTCTGAAATAGTTTAGTTTTTAGTAATTTCCTCAAAACCAACAGAGGGGCTGAGTCTTCTCTTCAAAGGGTTGACTCGACACAGAATAGCATTTTTGCGTCTCAGAAGGACATAAATATCCAGCAGCTGTTCTCCACAATATCAATTAATAATAGTTCCTTAACACAATATTTAACTGATTGGGCCAATTTGGTGATGTACTCCACTCATTAATAATGTCACCTTCTGTTATTTTCAGTCTGGTAATATATAAATGTAGTAAAATAAATTCAACAAATGGCATAAGAAGTTAATGGGAAAAGTAACTTCAGTTTGATGGAAGTTTGTAGAGAAATAGATACTAAAATCACAAATTGCAACAATTTTAGTAAGGACAAAAATACAGAATCCCACAAGAGAAGTCTCTATGCTTATTTAGAAAGCATAGTAAGAAAGATCTGAAAACAAAAGAGAACATATATGGAACATGAAAAGAAGATCATGTCAAAAAAGAGTATGTCCATGTAGTCTAGAACTGAAAGACTGATGTCCAGAAAGTGAAAATTTAGAATTTGTTCAGGAAAGCAAAGATTGTGGTGAAATGAAGTTTTTTCAGTTAAGTTCATGATAAGCTGAATAATGTAGATACTCAGTTCCTACTTTATTCAGTATTCTATAACACACACAAAAAATCTGTTCCATCAGCAAATGTTGAGTACAATGAAGAGACAAGATTACAATTTCAGGCTGACAGAAACATGATCCAAATGAACCTAAATATTCAGAACTATACACGTTATCTGAAAGGATACTGAACCTGTTGATATAGCACAGGGTTTCTCAGTCTCAGCAGTTTTAACTGGATGGAGTTCAGTTCCCAGAATTCCTTAGGTAGCAGAGTGGAAATCCCCATATAAAGTTGATGAGGTTGGCACACAATACTGTGGTTGGGAAATACTGGGCTGGTCAGTCCCTTATCTCTTATGTTTGAGAAATCTTCAAGAACTAGAGGATTTGATAAATGCCAAATAGCTAGAAGAGAGAAAATATTCTTCCCATTTATCTCCAAAAATAGGTAAAGGGAAGATTGAGCAATCTACAAACTGATTGTCTGATATTGATACTTGGGAATATTCTAGTGTGAATTAAAAAAAAGATTGATCTGTAAATTCACTGTAAATTCACTGTAAATCTGTAAATTCATTGCAGTTGATAATAGCACTGTACTATACTAATACTATATTAATACTTATACTAATACTATGCTGTACTAAACTTAATCTAAACTAAATTAAACTAAACTTGGAGCACTACTCAGATTGCTCATAGATAGTTCATTAAATTGGAGTGAGACAAGTTGGGTGCAAAAGTTATGTATTTTCATTAACATTTGAATGAAGAGGTGGAAGGAGAGCTTAAGTGTGCAAATGATACAGATCTGCAGAAGATAGAACTAAAATTCAAAATTATTTTGATAGGAGAAACAATTAAAAATAACAATATGAAATTTAAGTACAAACAAAGATAAGTACAAAACCACTTGGAAAATAAAAATAAAATACACAAGTATAAGATGAGGATACTTACAAACTGATTATGAGCCAGCAGTGTGATGTTGTTAAAAGAGGGTAAATACAACTTTAGATTGAATTAAAATTATGCATTAAAGGCATTATTATTATATTTATATCATACAATTTTATTTAAACAAAACTTTTTTGGCTATAGTAGTTCCATTTGTTCTACTTTGGTCAGACCCTACCCCAAATTTTAAAGATTTTAAGAATAGTTCAGCAAAATTACCTGAGATCCAAAAAAGGATAATAAAGACAATTGAAAGATTAGAACGTATGAAAAGAGCTTAAAGAATTGGATATACTAAGCCTTGAGAAAAATTACAGATAGTCCTCAACTTAGGATCAGTTGCTTAAAGACTTATATTTCTGATAGCCATGGAACAGGTACTTTATAGTCTGTAAAACACTCCCTGGCTGTCATAAATGGTCGCGCTATAACCCCTCCATGGTCATATGACTATACATTGGAGGCTTGGCAACTGGTCACCTTTATGACTGGTCAAAGTGTTCTATGATCACATGACCATAATTTGCAATATTATTTGACCATTTCTACCATTTTTTTTGCTGGTTTCTGGCAGAAATGCCCATTTGAATGATTTCCACTTAAGACCACTGTATTTGCTTAATAACTTCCACAAAAAATATTGTAAAATCACATCCAGTTACATGGATGCCTAAACTAGCAGCAAAAGGTTGTCACAAAGAAAATGAGGGGTTGCACAAGATGTAGAATATGACTCTTTGTTTAATTAGTAATAGATCCCTTAAAATTCTAATTAAAGTACATAAGGATTTCATAACATATGTTAATAGGAAGGATGCATCCTTCACCCTACCATTAAAATAGCTGCAACCTTTGAAGAGTCAAATATTTACTTTGAAGACTTGCCTGAATTTTATATGCGTGCATGGAGCTCCACAGACAGTATTTCTGCAGGGATCACCATTGAACCCAAGCTTCTGTTGATGAATACAGAGATATGAAGCCAGCTGGGGATACCCTCTGAAGTGGCAACATAACCTTTACAAAGGACACAGCTGCTTTAACACTTTGAAAAGAGATATTTTGTTCATGCTAACTTACTTGGTTTTAGCATTTTCACCATCTTTACCTGTGATACCAGTTGCTTTATGCCACACTATTTAGATTATTAAAGAAATGATTATACTGTAATATTTTCAAGTTGTCAGTGTGTTTAGTTAGTGAGATTGTAACTATGTTTATAATACAGCTGAACACACTTTCTGAGTCTGATATTATCTGGAATTAGTTACAATATATTGATGTTTATCCTGCCAATGCTGATTCATATTTTATATAGCTATAATGCTGTTTTGAGAATCAGTTTGGTGTAGTAGTTAAGGAACCAGGAGATTGTGAGTTCTAGTCCTGCCATAGGCACAAAGCTGGTGACAGTCACTTTCTGTCAGCCCAAGAAAGGAGGCAATGGCAAATCAGTTCTGAAAACTTTCCCAAGAAAACCACAGAGACTTTGAGAATTGGAACACAATTAAATACTGATTAATAATAATAATAATAATATAATAATCACTGTCTTATTAACATGCCTTAATGCTGAAACCCATAAGACTAAATCAGACTAACTTTTGAACTTTCAGTTTATTCTTTCCTTTATGCAAATATTTTATGATATTCCTTGAAAACAGAAATTACTATTTGTAGCATACTTTCGCATTCATGGAAATATTTCTTGTTCTACACAGATACTATATTGGGTTGCTTTGTTCAGAGAAATGAAACTCTTCTTGGTCTACATTTCATAGGCAAAATCTTTGGAGGACACCTACAGAGTCTGTCTTGTAATTTAATATGTTAGAGATGGAGTAAGAGTGTAAAATTCTTGTACCCATTAAATGACCTGTGAAAAATGGTGCAGGCAATGAAAACATTTAGCCCTGTCCTTTGTACTTCTTTATTAAATCTGTCGGTGGTATTTTTGTTTCTGTTTTAGGTAACTCTAGGAAGAGGCTGATGTGCTCAGTATGTAATAAGAGGTGCTCTTCAGCCGCAAATCTTCAAGAGCATCGAAAGGTCAGTTGAATGAGAGTTGACCCCCGGTAGGTTTCAACTTTTCTAGGGTAGAGGCCAGAGAGATCAGTCCCTTGAGAGCTGCTAAAACACAAATTGTCCAGGTTTTTTTTTCCAGCTGACACACACAGTAGTCTGAAACCAAAGTATTTATTTTCATTACCATGTTAAATCAAAGTTAAAGCAAAACACTATTGTGTATTTCTTTCCTGTCCTAGAGATAGCAATTTAGCCTTAGATATATATTATATTTTACTGTATAGTTTGAATGCTTAAAATTATGAATAGATGCTAAATCCATGAGAATAATTTAATGGCCACTTAAATCAAATGATTTTTCTTTTAACAAAAACCTCTCTTGTAACTATTTGTTTTCCTAAATATTTTCAGCACTGTTAGTCATGCACTTTAGTGCATTTATCCTGCACTAAAATATTTATATTTAATTTTCTATGAAAATGATTTGAAAGAAGCCAAATTATAGATCTTAAAGAAAAGAAGTATCTGTTTCACCCCTGTCAATCATTGAGAAACATAAAGCAAAACTAAAGGTAAAGTTTCCCCTATTCAGTCTGATTCTAGGGGGCAGTGCGTATCTCCATTTCTTAGTTGAAGGAGACAGCATTGTCTGAAGGCATTTCTGTGGTCATGTGGCCAGCATAACTATATGCCGAGGCGCACAGAACGCTGTTACCTTCCTACTGAAGTGGTACCTAATTATCTAATCACATTTGCATTCTTTTGAACTTCTAGGTGGCAGGAGCTGGGGCAGGCACCCCATTGCATAGCACTTGGGTCTCAAACCCAGGCCATCAGCTTTCTAGTTGATAAGTTCAGGGTCTTTAACTGTAAGCCATTGTGCTCTTGCTCAATTATGTATTTAATTATCTATTAACAATATTTGAAAGAAGAAGAGAAATTGTAGATCTTAACAAAAAGAAGTAACTGTTTCACCACTGTCAATGATAGACATAAAGCATTCAGGATAAAATATCTGTTATTGTGGCTGACATTTCATTAGATGTTATCCATACCAAACTACAGCTCTTAAGAGTACTGGCAATCCTTTCTTCATGATTTCACACATTTGTGTCAGTTTTGCTATCCATGAACTTTAAAACTGGATATATCATAGACTAGATCTGTCATCTCAGATGTGAAAACCCATGTTCTAGCTCAGAATTACAGGCTCTTCCTATAACACATATGACATATATGTAAAATGATAATTCCTTGGAGTACAGACTTGTGATGAGTGAAGCATAAGCGCCAGCAGGATAAGATTTATATTACTGTATTTTTCCATGTATAAGAATCACCCTTGTATAAGATGCTCTGGCATGTGAGTTCCAAGCTTACAGCAAACAAAGTCAATGCCGGGAGCAACCGCCTCCCAGCGCTCTAAATAGACGCCTCCCGGACGCCCCCATCACCACCCACCTAACCAGCATCCGGCACGATGAGCATGCATAGTCAGCCTTCCAACCCTGGTAAACAAACTGGCGTGAGCACCAGCATGACAGCAAGGCAAGTGAAACGAAGGCGGTTTTAAACTCCCTGTCGTTTCTCCATGCCAATCAGCTGTTCGATGGAGCGCTGAACAGCTGAGCCGGCAAATCTGGTTGTTCAGCCAGCCGCTATTATCGAGCAGGACAACCTTGCAGCTGCATTCCACAGGGTTCCCAGCCAGAATACAGGTACAAGGGAGGGAAAGGGCTGTTGCTGCCATCCATGCTGCTGGTCCCATCCGCTGCCTCCGGCGCTGCCATCCGACGATCTTGCCCCCTCCTCCTTCTTGTTAGTGGCAAGCCCACAGGGGCTTGACACCTGCACCAGGTGGCATGACAGCGGCATGTAAAGAACCCACACAGGCATGCCCTGGGCTGCGGAGTTTACCATTATTTTTTCATGTATAAGATGCTGCACTTGTATAAGACGCACCTGATTTTTGAACAGGGTGTTTGCAGGAAAAAATAGCGTCTTATACACAGAAAAATACTGTATTATATAAAGAAATATGTTTATTTCCAGTGCAAATAGACGTTTACTGTAGGCTATGTCCAGAGTGTCTATAGGCATGAATGTAATCTTGTATAAAAAGTGTTGTACTTCATGAAATCTAAGCAACTTTATTTCAAGGAAAGTACTGGCCCATGTTTCATAACAATAAGAAGCAATTTTTTTTCACAGATGTTGAAGTACAAAGCTAATTCTATCATAAACTCCAAGTCTAGCCAAGTATTTAGAACTGTCTTTAAAGATCAGATCACAGTGCTTGAATTAGATAATCTTTTTAGAGGCTTATAATATTAAGGAAAAACTATTAGCAAGTTTATGGACTATATATCAACATTCACCACAAAGGAGCCTGACTGAAAAATAACGTTTCTATGGTTCATTTACTCCTTTATTTCCCTTTAAAACATTATTTTCTATTGTTTTATTTCCAGATCAGAAAATGTTTTTTTGATTAAGTCTCATATATGAGGCTGTATCAAGCTTGTGTGTATGCTAACTATGTGCCTCAACTGTTGGCAGCAGCACTTGACTGAAGCTGAGCAGGTTTATACTTGGTAGTACTTAGATGTGGTGGAGAAATAAAATCCCAAAAAGGTAGCAGAGTGATATATTCAAGAGGACAGCAGGACTCAAGATCACTTCTTGACTTTATACAAATAAGGAATTTCTTTGTTTTTTTATCAAATTAGTTGGATAGGACAAAAGCAGATGTGACAAATATAAGCTTACGGCGTGTTGAAAACAAGTGATCTTATTGAAAAAGCATAAGGAAAGAGGCATCTGATCTTCTTTTGGGTCTGATTATTTCTGGCAGCTTACTTTATTCAGAACTAATTTTCAAGACTAAAGTTGGGAAGAAAGTCAGGTATAGCAAAAAAAAAAAAAAAAAAAAAAGCCACTTAATTAAGCTTCCTCTAAAAGTAAACCACTATTTCTATAGTATTGTATGTGTACATACGGTATACATGGGAACTATAGGTCTATCTGTTTTGCTTCTTCTAAATAATCAGTTATGATACAGGATATCAGGATCACATTCAGTTTTGTGACAAAATATTGAGTGGTAATTTGGTAGGATGTTCACACAAGGCATAAAAACTCATAAACTAATAACCATTTCATTATTAGGGTGTTAAAAGTAATACCCCTCAGAGTCAGCGAAAGAAGAAAATAATTATTTTTTGCAACATTTTTCCAGTTGATCAGGTTTTCCAGTTAATTTATTGTAAATTGCATTTATTTGTTGTTTACGTTAGGATTTGTTTTTATAATTTTGAAAAGCAGGTTGTTTATAATATAAATGATGAAGATTATATATGTGCAATGTACTAAATTAATATTAAATATTCATATTGCAGGTTCATGAAATAGTGGAGTGTCAAGAATGTGACAAGAAATTTATTTCAGCTAATCAGCTAAAACGTCATATGATAACTCACTCAGGTAAAGACTTCTCTGTCAAATAAAATACCTCAGATTATTTAAAATTGTTTTTACATTAGCGTTTTTAAAAAATTGTATGGTGTTAAATGCTAATAAACAAATACATCATAGTGCCGTTACAGCCTTTCCTGGCATAACAGATTTCAGATATTCACTACAACATATACACTATAACTGTCAGAATTCCTTTGGCCACACTATTTAATAATTCTTGAAATGTCATCAAATTCATCTGTAATGTGAAAGTTGGAAAATTAGAACTATCATACAAGGAATACATAGCCTAAATAACTTCTTTTTTGGAATGTGATTCTTTTCATAAGAATGCCTTGTATTTCTAAACAGTACATTTTCACACTTCTTTTGAAAGAGTATACTTTGAGCAGATAGCTGCCTAAAATGATTGAGATCCAGAGACAGGTTTTAATGGCTTTATGAGTTTAAGGCTACATATATAATTCCAATGCTTTACCATTAATTGGTTGTGCATACTCTCCTAGAAAGCAGTTCTAGCCCAACTACAGCTTGGACACTTTTGCCAACGTGATCACTTTTCTTAAAATGTTATTAAACTGTTTTTAATCATTTGATTATTACCCTACTAGTATCTTTGCATACAAGTGATGCAGAGATGAACCTTTAATGATAGCTATTTTTGTGGACTAACAGAGAGCACAGAAGGCAAAATGCTTCTGTTTTCCTTAAATCAAACCATATCTTCCATAGGCAGTATAAATTCAATTATGTTCTGTTTCTTTTACCCCCAATTCTTCAAAAACAATTTCCAGCGTTGCAAAATAGTTTTGTTGTTATCTGCTATCTTTATCTCACAGCTTCTGGTTGACTGGTTTAAACAAAGAAGCAAAATGAATTTCAGAGACTTTTAGATGTTTATTGAGGTTATGGATTAGAATGGGATAGCAGTAAGAGTTCAGCCAACAACTAAAAGCTGAAAACTTAAACATATCAACTGAATTTTAATAGAAATGAATATGCTATCGTATGTGTATTACTAATTAAGTTTTAAAATGTTTAAATTATTATGCCCTCTTTCTCATTGTTAGTCTGGCAACAAGCTTTGCCTCTTTGAAGTCATTCTCTTTTGATTTAAGCTAATTAATCAGAGTTTAGTTTTTGCTGTGATTGTTGCAAAGAACGTGCCAATTTCTCAAGATGCGCCATGGCTTATATTTTGGGAAGCGACTTAACTGTATAACGTAAAGAGCATAAGATGTCTTTCTAATTGGTTTAATCTTAATTGGGTTGACTTCATTGCAGACATCTCTGAGGAGATGAATGTTTCTGCCTTTCATCTTCTAGCCCAATATAAACAAGAGCTTAAATGTCCCCCCACTCATTTTCTACAGAAAAACGCCCTTACACCTGCGAGGTTTGCAATAAGTCCTTCAAACGACTTGATCAAGTGACTGCACACAAAATAATACACAGTGAAGATAAACCCTATAAATGCAAGCTTTGTGGAAAGGGATTTGCCCACAGAAATGTTTACAAGAATCACAAGAAGGTAAAAACAACCCCAAAACATTCTGCTGTTGTTGTTTACAGCTCTGCCAGGCTTAGATTTGCAGCTGTTGCTCATTAACATGGATGGATCAGTACGCTTTGGCATGCTTAGAAAGCTTTAAATCTTGCAAAATATTGTTACATACTTACAGATCTAGCAGGTTCCTGGTTATTGTTTGGTGTTTCTTTAATTGACTAGGAAATTTTATTGAAAGGAAGGAAGGAAGGAAGGAAGGAAGGAAGGAAGGAAGGAAGGAAGGAAGGAAGGAAGGAAGGAAGGAAGGAAGGAAGGAAGGAAGGAAGGAAGGAAGGTAGGTAGGGGAAACCTGTAGTAAAATTGTAGTCATTTTATATCATTATGACTACTGGGAGAAATCTTACAATTTGTACTGTATTCCAGTTAAAAGAAGGAACTCTGCCATAAAAATATAAAGGAATTTCACTTTTTAGTTTACATAGAGACCTCGGCTGTGTGATTTAAGTGACAATCTGCCTGCCCTAATTTAGATAATGCCTGCCATTACTTTTGACCCCGGGTCACAGTTTCAATGGGCTGGCTGCACCCTTGTCTGCTGCTTCTTCTACAGAATGGTAAGACTATTGAGAAAGAGAGACAGAATTTCCTGCTTAGCATTTGGGATCCTTTGCTCTTTCTCTCTCCCCTCCCCATGCTGCCAACACTTTGATGAAACAGATATACCAAAACTTAGACATACTTTTCACAGTTTGGCTCATGTTATATGTCATCTGGGAATTTGGCACCGAATCTTTGCACCATCTTTTGTTTTCAGCCATAAAGCATATGAAAATAATAATCAAAATATTTTTTGCATGGTGAAACAATTGTAACTGTTCTTTTTAAGACAAACAAGATACACAAGTTTGGGTGAAAGACAACTAGCGTAGACGCATATCACAATCTAACTTAAATATATAAAATATTTTAAAAAAAATTAACTTGAAAGTGATTGTAGGGGAAAGCATCTGAAATATACTCGCTTATATTTTGTTTTTCAAAAAATTCAACTGTTATATCCTAAATTGAGGACATAGATAAAAATATTGATTAAAATGATATGGAATAGGAAGATAATTGAATATAAACATTGCTGTTGAAAAGGTTTACAGATAATTTTGAGAGATTTGCAATAATTTGTGGAAATGTATTTTCAGGTTTGAATTGACAGCTATTGACAACAGAGCTGTTGACCTCTGTTGAGATTCTGATTACCTGAGATTGAAGTTTGTAACATTACTATATCTTATAGATTATAGATGGACAGCTTTCCATTTATATATCAGTAAAGGAGGCAGGTGTGTAAGGAAAAAGTAGGAAATGGGAGACAATCACATGCATCTTCATTATAGCTTGAATCTGCAGGCCAAAGGTGACAGGACTGATCTTTGAGTTGATTCAATAATCTTCCCTTTAGCTTCTTAAACAATCACATACAGGAAATGCTATTTGGGTTTCTTGATAAAATGAGAGATCTCTGGATTGGAAAGTACAACAAAGCATTAGATAACAGGCATGGATGTTAGTGGTATGATGCATATATGGAATCTGGGTGGCAGAATAGGTAAAGGAAGATAACATTTGTTTTTCCTTTTTGTGATAAGTAATGAAAACTGATTTGGTGATGAAAAATGGATAGACTGTAGCACATAGGAATGTTTATGAGAGAGTTCCCAGGTTTTTTTGGGGGGGGGGGGTGAGTGTGAAATTCTTTTCCTCTTCTGTCCTGTTTTGTGTTGTATTAATACTATTTTGGGGTTAACACTACATTTAGTGTGACCCCTGCCTAATAACAGTGGGAAATAGCACCACTGATTTGTAGCAATCATGTCACTGTACTTAATTAACACAAAGTGAGGCCACACACACAAAAAGGAGCTTGCACTGCATGTGTTCTTGAAGCCTTAGATTGCCTATTATTGTCGCAAAAGCTTTGACGAGCAAACTCAGTTTATTTCTGTTGTGAAAAGTCAAGCTGTGAATTGAGGTGTATATCATGTTAGATAAGAAGAAAAATACCTTGTTACTAGATAAGGCTATGGATCATTCTCTGCTTAATTTTTCAATATCTCAGCATGATTCTATTTTTTAAAAAAATAACTCATGAATTTAATTCAAAGGTATTTAATGTTCAATATTAAATAAGGGAACCTAGAATCTAGTAGGGGACTTGTAGAGGGTGTTCTATTGCACTTTTCCAACAAAAATTCTCTGAGGAATCAGACTGTTTTGATGGTCTTAAACCCAGATCTGAATCCAGACTAAAATAAGTTTATAAATACAAATATGATTGATCTTTCTTAAGCGTGAAATGCTGACAAGCTGAGAAAACAAAATATTTAGAATTTTGGAAAAATGTTTATCGCTAGTAGATTGATTGATTGATTATTCCAATATATATATGGATGTCTAGACTCATAGACTCTAGATGTCACAAAACAATCTGATAAAACAATAAATTAATCATTACTTAAAGCCATTATATAATCATTATTAAGAGTTATCTAAAACTATAAAAGTAGAACCAAAACAAGAAAAGAGAATAATGGACAGAGAGATGTAAATAATAATGGAGCCACCATGAGTTTACCCAGCTCCTGAAGTCCCCAGGCCTGCTGACATAAACAGGTCTTGAAGGATGTTCAAAAGTTCAGGAGCTATGAGACTGACTTCACTTCTGGAGGAGAGATGATTCCACAAAGCTCCAGAAAAGGCTTGCTGCCTAGGGACTACCAAATGTAGCTCTCTAGAGAATGTAACAGAATCTTGAAAGCTTCTCAGAGTAATGTTCTTGCACACTTTATACCAAAGTTGGTCTGTTATAATATACCCTATGGAAGGAATTGTGGTACAGTATGCCCTTGTTTACTACATTGATCCAGAAACATACAGTGAAACAAAGGAGTACTGTATTAGAAAATTTTTAAAATAAAACAGAATGTTAGAAAGATAGAGAATGGTTGCTCCATAAACTTTTGATTCTAGCCCCAACATAGATATGCAGACCTCATCATTATTGCTATAGTTCTTATTTTATTGATTTGAAACTTACATAACAACTCAACTTTTTGGGAATAGTAATTATCCGGGTTGTGTGTTGCTGCTGTGAAAGACCTATATATATTTTGGCAAACACATAGAATGAGAACCTTTTTGAACATTATTCATTTTTTTTAGTGGCTTGCAATATAGAGGCTGTTGCATCTAAATTGCCTCATTCTTTCTGTTATTTTTATAATGCTTAGATCAGTAAATAATGCAGGCAAAATCTGTTAAGTGGTAAAGAAAAGGGAATATTGGCAACTAAGCAGACTAAATAAATACATAAATAAACAGAATAAACTAAGGCTTTGTTTACCTAATCAGAAAAGAGATGGTTTGTTTGAAGGCTGATACAGCTAAATTAACAGCTTTGTAGGCAAAGAAGATATCCAAACCTTTATGTTCAGTTTTGAATTTATGCTTTCTTGCACATATTTCACCAAACTATATCCTAGGTAATATTTGTGTTACTATTTCAATCATTTCTTGACATGAGAGTCAAATCAGAGATTCCTAATCAGCTGGATGAATGTTCTATACTTAGTATACTTAGCCTTATGCTAAATAAGCAATATTTTTTTAAAAAATCAGAAGTTGTTTAAGGAGTTCCAAACCTAGGATAGTCACTCACCTAAGTAAAATCCTAAGTGTTTTATTAAATGGGGGGAAATTTTCACTCATGCATGTGCCATATGTACAGCCCTAGAGACTGAACCCTTATATTTATCCACAGAACAGGTACAGCACAATCAGCAGCAGTGCAAGCTTCCCCACAGCAAAGTCTCATCCAAATGTCTCAGCCCTGTTCTGGAGGATACACCAGTTGAGGTGAGAAGGTAGCTCAGTCTCTTTCTATTGAGAAATTATTTGGCTTTTCTTAGCAGCAACCCTATTATTGAATCAGACTGTGTAAAAGCATTCCGAGCTTCTTTACAAACTGCTTCCAGAAGAAGTCTAACATCACTATTGACATAATGTTTGTTTATGTAATTGAGGGACAACTTGGAAACACAGCACAATGCACTTTCTGCATCAGAAGTTTCCAAGTCACCGTCCAAACATTAGCAGAAAATATCAGCTGAGAAGAATCGGGTACTTGCTTTTGCTGGTCTCCTGATTCAGTCCAGAAGGCTGAGAAAACTATAAATCTCACGGTTCTTCTCAGAAATTATGATCCTTTCATTGCAAATGGACTATCAGAATTAGGGCTGAATTATACCTGCCCTTTCCTCCTTTTTTTCCCCTTCTGGAGAAACTGGGGATGTTTTAAAAATTAAAACAATATATTCTGGTCTGGGCACTCTCCATATATGTTAATACAGTGCTCAGAATCCTTATCAATGACCACGCTTGTTGGGGAATAGAGTAGAAAGAACGCAAAAGTACTAGAGTTTTCTGATAAGATGTTGTGAATATAGAAGTGGAGTTGTGGACATAGAAGAAAAACACAGTAACAAAGATACTTGAGAAAGTACATCCATGTGTATCTTGCCTAGAGTTTTTTTCAGAAGAAAAGCAAGTAACAAAGATACTTGAGAAAGTGCATCTATGTGTATCTTGCCTAGAGTTTTTTTCAGCCTAAACAGAGAGTATTATTTGCAGTTGAGGGCAAGTGGCAAGGTATTGTCTGCTTCTAAAACAGGGTCCTCAATCTGTTTTAGATAAGGGGCAAAACTGACATTTTAAAGGCATATTAATTATTGGAGGGAGGGTGTTCATTCTCAAAATGATTATGAAGAAGGGTGAGCTAATCATATATATCCTATCCAAAGGTAAATAAGAGTGTTTTCCCGCCACACTGCCAGTCCTCTTATAATAACCAAATCAACTCCCACCTTATTGCTATTGGTGGATCTTTTTCTTTTTCCAGTGCTGGTAATTTACAAAGCTCCGGATTGCACCCATTTTTTATTCGCTAAAATTCCTATAAGCCTATGGAGAATTCATAAATGTTCTTGGAAATAATATTGACACTAAAGCATAAAAAAGCAGCATTGGAATTTAAAAACTGCAGGGTGGGACAAGAGCCTGGTAGATGTTCATAATATTCACTGGCACCTTCCCAATATTGTACTTGGCTTTGCTTTGTTATGCCTCTTCTTTTTCGTCTTCACCTCAGTCTCTATGAAGACAAAAAACTCCTTTTATTTGTCTGTTTTCTTGTCTGTTGCTGTTGTTGCAGAGCTTCCAAAACCCACACATCTTCTCCCCCAGGTGTTTCAAGGTTGATCTTTTATAAGCAATTACATTAACATGGGGAAGAAGTCTCAAATAAGAAGGCAGAAAGACAGCACAAGTGCCTGAAATTTTCTCAGCAGCTGTCACATTCGCTCAAATCTAAATGTTTGTTCAGTATATATTTACAATCTGTGTTCCTGAAACTAGTCTGGATGAATCTTAAATTACAATAGGAAGATATTTGTTGTTTAATCCATAGGCAGATATGAGGGGTGAAATGATGTGCCAGAGCTGCCTTTAAAGGACCTTCCAATCTATTCAATAAGAATGGCATGGCCATTCCAATTCTGGAACACTAAAAGCAACATTAGACTTTTACTTAAGTATGAAGAGAGAAATTGTGATTCATTTCTTGATGTAGTTCAAGTGTTGATCCTTCTGTAATGTATTAGGAGTCCTGCAGTCAGATTTGGAGACTCTTGCAATCTTCTCAATACAGTACTTGTATGAATATGACTGATTGAGACATGGCAGTTTCAGTCTTTATGTTACAAAAATCTGTCTCTAGAGAGGTTTTATTTGGTTCCATCCCTCTTAAGCTTCAGCTGAGCTGGTAAGCATTACTGCATCATCACGTTTTAAAGAATTTTTTGGAGAGGGTGTTGCCTATAAACTTATTCACTAATAATAGAGACCATATTTGCCCAGTTTCCATTTAGTCAAATTGTCTCTGAAATCTGCTACATGGGCTTGAAGAATCCAGTAGAAAAATAGAAACCTTTGTTTATTTCTGTTATTTATTACCAGGTGTCAAGGTAAATAAAATCTTTTGGAATTTCTTCTATTTATGATTTCATAAACTTAAGGAGGAGGAGCCATGGTGGTGGGGTGGTTAGAATCCAACATTGCAGGCTAATTCTGCCCACATCCAGGAATTCAATCCTGATTGGCTCATGGTTGACTCAGCCTTCCATCCTTCTGAGGTTGGTAAAATGAGACCCAGATTGTTGGAGGCAAGATGTTAACATTTGTAAACTGCTGAGAAGTAAAGCACTATGGGGTAGTATATAAAGCACTATGGAGTAATTTATAAGTCTAAGTGCTATTGCTATTGGCTATTGCTATTTTAATGTAATTAAGCTTTAGCAACTTGGTATTATTAAACTATGTTTTCTTTTATTTTCCGGACCAGACTAGTGGAACTTATTTTTCTTATTTTAGTTATACATAAATAGGGTCTTGTAGATACCTCTATAAGAATGAATCAAATAGGGGAAAAGCTTTTAATAGCCTCTCACAGTTCTCTCTCTCTCTCTCTCTCTCTCTCTTTCTTTCTTTCTTTCTTTCTTCACCTTTAACATTACTTTTCAATATAAGAATTCAGTGTATGCTAACTGGACATAGCCTTGTGATAACATGGTTCCCTTAACTTTTAAATTCTATAATGTTAAAGTATTCTGTTAATACATTGAATGTTTAAAAAAATAGGAAAGTGGTATTTTGTGACATACACATTTATCATACACTTTAAAAGTAGCAGATGGGAATCCATTCATTCAAACATTCCCATTTTAGTGACAAATAACTTTGGATTTGTGAGATTAGAATTTTATCCTAAATTATTCTATATTTTAGAAAGCAGGTTAAACTATTGACTAAAAATTAATAGAGGATTGCTTTAAGTGAATATCTATAATATTTAGAGGACCTTTGAGGTTTGGCATCTTATGAAACACCAAACAAAGCCTATAGTGAAGTTTATGGCCTTTTAATGCATTCCTGTGTATATTTTATTTATATGTATTTATTAGATTTATCTGCTCAAATTATTAACTTTTCATTTTTTTAAGCATGCAGAATTAAATCTTTCATTTTTGTTTGATCAAATAATACACTATCTTTTTTGACTACAGTCAGCAAGCTTAGCCATAGTTATATATGTTCTTTATCTACAGACACATTCTGAAGAAAGACCATTTCAGTGTGAGGAATGTAAAGCTCTATTCCGAACACCATTCTCTCTACAAAGACATCTTCTGATTCATAATAGTAAGTAGAAATATAGATGATAAAGCGGTTCACAGATCATCAAAGTCTCAATACCTGCGAGAATAATGCATTCTTAATTTTCTGATCTAACAAAACATCCTTATCAGATTAGAATTTTATATTTTATATAAAATGTGTACACACTTTAACATATACATCCACATACATCCACACAGATTTGCACCCATGGACATGATAAACAAAATATAAATAGTAAAATTCAATTAATATGAAATCTGCATTTAGTTTGTAAGTTAAGGATTCATTGTACCTGTTTTTTGGTTGAATAGAAAAATGGTCTTTAATAATGAATATAATATGGACAATAGATATAATTATGTTCAGGAAGCTGTGCAACACATGTAATGTTCAATTTTAATGTTTAATGTTCTAATTATTTTATATTGCTTTTTAATGATGCTATAAAGCAGGGGTGTCAAACTCCATTTCATTGAGGGCCGCATCAGCATTGTGGTTGCCCTCAGGGGGCCAGGTGAGTGTGTCCAGGGTGGGTGCGGCCTACTGGGTGGGCGTGGATGGGGTAGGTGTGGCCTACTGAGTGTGCCTGTGGGGGCTTGGGCAGAAGTGGGATAGATCTGAGGGTCTCTGGCAGAAGGGGGTGGGACCAGGGCAAGTGCCAAGGCATGGTCCACTGTTCCTCTCAGGCCATGCGGGGGGGTGTTATGGAGCTAAGACTGAATGCGTTTCAGCATAGAGGCCACCACAAAGTTGTACATTGGCTCCCAGCTGGCCTGGGCCAGGGCCAAGGCAGAGGGGGGCGTTCCCTCACTGTTTCCAGGATGGCTTTGCAGGCCACATGAAACCACTTCGCGGGCCGCATCCAGCCCCCCGACCTTGTGTTTGACATGTCTGCTATAAAGTGTCCAGAGTCACCCAACAGTGAGCTTGGTGACAAATAAATTTAATTAATTAAACAAATAAAATAGGGCAAGCTTCAGAGATTATTAATGACTTTTTTAGTGCTCAAAATTATCTAGCCTGAATAGTCAGCTCCTTGGCTGTTTAACCTAGATTGATAAGGTTTGTTCCTTTAAAGCAGTGGTTCTCAACCTGTGGGTCGTGACCCTTTTGGGGGTTGAACGACGCTTTCACAGGAGTCACCTAAGACCATTGGAAAACACATATTTCCGATGGTCTTAGGAACCGAGACACTGATCCTCTATCCGGCCGCCGCCCTCCTCCTCCTCCGCCGGCTCCTCCGCCTCCAGGGTGCCCTTCTCCTCCAACAGTGCCTGCTCCTGCCACTGCACACGCGCGCCCCTGACGCCACCCCGGGCCGGCTCAGCTGTGTGGGTGGCTGGGCCGAGCCAAGCTGAGTCTGGGCCACTGCTGGCGCTGCAGCTGGGCTGCTCCGCCACTGCCACCGCTGCTGGCTGAGCTGAGCTGCGCCGCCAAGCTGGTCCCCACGCATCCTGGTTGCCCAGTCATGCTCCATCCCCGGCCGCCCTCCGTGCTGCGCCAGAGCCTCCTCTGTGCCGCCCAACCCGCCTCCCTCACCGTCGGAGGCCGTCTCGGCCCTCCGGCGCCTGGTGTGGCCCTCGAGCTGTTGGGTAGGAGCGGCTCCTTCCCGGCTCGCCGGGCTCTGGGCCTTGGAAGCAGCCAGGCGGTGGCGATGCCCGCATATGCATTGGAGGCCAGCGGGCCGGGCCGGGAGGAGAGAAGCGGCACCTTCCAAATGGGAGCTTGCGCTCCGTCTGTGCCCCTCTCGTGTGCGATGAGTTGGGGAAGGGTTGTGGCGGTGAAGGGCTACGCGGTGTGGAAAGGGACTCCCGCAACCCTGCCGCTGTGATGGTGCTTAGGAGGCTGTAGGGGCAGGCAGGTCCCGGGGGTGGCTGGGAGAGGGCAAGAGGTGCCGGGATGAGGATAGGGGGCTCCAAGTTGGCGGGCGCGAGAGGGTGGCTGTCGGCTCAGAGGTGCGTGGATCCTCTGCACGGCTTCTGAAGCCCCGGAGGTGCCGCCGCTTGGCTCTCCACCAGGCTGTCCGCCAGAGCCTGCCCCCTCCCCAGGCAATTGTGCGGAACTGCTTGTGTGTCCTTGGCATCGCCTGCGGGCAAGGCTGTGTGCCCAGGCCAAAACACCGCACTTTTTCTACTGCTTCTCCTCCCATCTCTTCCCCTTCAATCTCTCTCTCCTTCCTTCCTTTCCCCTTCAATCTCCTTCCTTCTCCATCTCCTTCCTTTCCCCTTCAATCTTCCTTCCTTCCCCTTCCCTCCCTCCCAACATTTTTGAGCAAGGAAAAGTAAGCTTCTCCAGTGAGCATTGATATATTGTTTTTGTGATTAATCACTATGCTTTAATTATGTTCAATTCATAACAATGAAAATACACCCTGCATATCAGATATTTACATTACGATTCATAACAGTAGCAAAATTACAGTTATGAAGTAGCAACGAAAATAATTTTATGGTTGGAGGTCACCACAACATGAGGAACTGTATTAAAGGGTCGCGGCAATAGGAAGGTTGAGAACTACTGCTTTAAAGTTTCTCTCAATAAACACATTGATAGATTGTACACTTGAAAATAAATTGTCAATGTAAAATAATACCTGTTCTGAGCAAATTATGTAGAACTTTTCAACTAATGAATTGTGGTCTTTCTTTGCTATAAATTATTTGCAGTTGCTCACATAGATTTTTAAAAAACTGGGATTGATATAATGAATGGTGATGCATACACCACACACACACACACACACACACACACAAATATCGTTACAAAGAAAATAATGTTTATGATGAAAATATTGCATAATATAGTACATTTAATTTTAATTTTATATATAAAGTATAATTTTTATTGACAAATATCTGATTATATTTCTCCACTATAAAATTCATTACAGGCAGTAAGGTTCTATTGATAGTTACTTGGTAGTTGTTTCTCTCATTCCAGGACATTATATAGATACTCCTTAACTTATGACCATAACTGAGCCTAGAATTACAGTCATAAGTCATTGCAAATTTATAAGCTCAAGTTCAAAGATCAGCTTGTAGCAATAAAAAAAAATTCCGTCAACAACACAGGCATTTACGTTGGTTCATAGAGTAACAGCTCTGCAGTGATAATTTTTAGCAGTTCTGTAGCTGCAATGGAAGACAAGAACCCATATTGCATAACAATAATAATAATAATAATAATAATAATAGTAAAGTTGGAAGGGACCTTGGAGGTCATCTAGTCCAACCCCCTGCTCGGGCAGGAAACCCTACACCATTTCGGACAAATGGCTGTACAGTCTCTTCTTAAAAACTTCCAGTGTTGGAGCATTTACTGCTTCTGGAGGCAAGCTGTTCCACTGATTAATTGTTCTCACTGTCAGGAAGTTTCTCCTTAGTTCTAGGTTGCTTCTCTCCTTGATTAGTTTCCACCGTTGCTTCTTGTCCTGCCTTCAGGTGCTTTGGAAAATAGCTTAATTCCCTCTTCTTTATGGCAGCCCCTGAGATATTGGAATACTGCTATCATGTCCCCCCTTGTCCTTCTCTTCGTTAAACTAGACATACCCAATTCTCGCAACCGTTCCTTATATGTTTTAGCCTCCAGCACTCCAATCACCAGCACTTTTGTCTCTTAAGTCTACCATTACTCTGTGGCCTAATTAGATTGGGGGAAAAAATCTTTCAATAAATACATTCAAATTTCTGTTTACCCAAGATAGAAGAAATTGGCTTCTTTCAGCCTAGTGAGCAGAATTTATTGATTTATTTATAATATTCAATAGATAATATTAACATGTTTTTTCTCTTAGGTGAAAGAACATTTAAGTGTGATCACTGTGATGCTACATTCAAACGGAAGGATACTTTGAATGTTCACATACAAGTTGTTCATGATGGCCATAAGAAATATAAATGTGATCTTTGTGACAAAGCCTTCGTAACACCATCTGTTTTAAAGAGCCATAAAAAAGTGAGTATAATAAAAAATAACTTTATAAAAGTTTTAAAAAGGAACACAATTATTTATTGCACAAACTTTATTTTACATAATTCACATTTAATGTATAAATTATTAGAATAGAGGTCCCCAACCTTTGGGGCATCAGGGATCGGTTCTGTGGAGAGAGGTTTTTCCATGGACTGAGGGTGCGTGGTTTTGTGTGCTACCTGCGGATGGGGCTTTGCTTGTTTGTGCAGACTGGTTGCTGGCATGCCGTAGCCCGGTACTGGTCAATGGACCAGGGGTTGGGACCCCTGTATTCTCCAAAGTTGATCTGTATTCCCCCCAAAGTCCACTTAAGTTGTTTTCGAGTTACTATTATTATTATTATTATTATTATTATTATTATTATTATTATTATTATTATTATTATTATTATCATTCATCGCACAGTCAGCCAGATGTTCAGACTGGATTTGGCATTTTGTCTACCTATCGAGTCCTTACCCAGGACCTGGGACAGGCAGATGTGGATGTTTGATGGTATTACAGATATCGTTGCAGGATGGAAGCAGTTCCTAGTAAGGCTGCCTTTTGCAATTGACTAATAGCAAATTTGTCAATGCCAATGGTGTTCAAGTGGTGCTCCAGTTGTTTAGGGATTGCGCCCAAGGAGCCTATGACTATTGGTACTACCCTTGCTTGCTTTTGCCACAGTCTTTCTATTTCTATTTGTAGGTCTTTGTATTTTGTTATCTTCTCCAGTTCTTTCTCTTCTATTCTGCTATCTCCAGGCACTGCCACGTCCACTATCCAGACTTTTTTGTCTTTCTTATCGACAATTGTTAAGTCTGGGTTGTTATGTTGCAGGTGCTTGTCTGTTTGAATTATGAAGTCCCAGAGCAGTTTAATTTTATCATTTTCTATGACTTTCTCTATTTTATGATCCCACCAGTTTTTGCTTACAGGCAAATGATATTTTTGCAGATCTTCCAATGCACCATTGTTGCTACTTTGTCATGCCACTGCTTGTAGTCAGTCTGTGCAATCTTCTTGCAACAGCTTACCAGGTGGTCCACTGTTTCTTCAGCTTCTTTGCATAGGCGGCACTTACTGTCTGTTGCGGTCTTCTCAATTTTGACTTTGTATGCATTTGTCCTTAAGGCTTGGTCTTGTGCAGCCAGAATTAATCCCTCGGTCTCTTTCTTCAATTTTCCTGCTCTTAGCCATTGCCAGTTTTTATTATTATCTGCTTTCCCAGCTATTTTTTTAATGTATTGGCCATGTAGTGCTTTGTCTTCCCATGCCTCTATTCTGTTTTTCATTTGGTCTTTCTTGTAGGCCAGTTTGGTCTCTCCAGTGGTTAGTAAGCCTTCCTGATATACTAATTTCAGTGCATCTTCATCATTGTTCTTCAGATATTCTTCCAAAGCCATTTTTTCTTCTTCAACCATCTGATGTACTTGTAGCATTCCACGCCCACCTATTTGCCTTGGTAGATAAAGTCTATCAATGTCACTGCGTGAATGAAGGGCATGATTCATTGTCATTCTTTTTCTGGTCTGCCTATCCATTGCTTTTAGTTCTGCTTGAGTCCAGTCCACTATTCCAGCTGTGTACCTAATGACTGGGATTGCCCAGGTGTTGATTGACTTTATGGTATTTCCTCCATTGAGTTTGGATTTTAAGATCTTCTTCACTCTCTTGATGTATTCACCTCTAATCTTTTTCTTGACTTCAGTGTGCTTGCTTGGCAGTCATCTAGTCCAACCCCCTGCTCAGGCAGGAAACCCTATACCATTTCAGACAAATGGCTGTCCAGTTTCTTCTTAAAAACGTCCAGTGTTGGAGCATTCACCGCTTCTGGAGGCAGGTTGTTCCATTGGTTAATTGTTCTAACTGTCAGGAAGTTCTAGGTTGCTTCTCTCTTTGGTTAGTTTTCACCCGTTGCTCCTTGTCCTGCCTTCAGGCATTTTGGAAAATAGCTTGACTCCCTCTTCTTTGTGGCAGCCCCTGAGATATTGGAACACTACTATCAGGTCCCCCCTCGTCCTTCTCTTCGTTAAACTAGACATACCCAATTCCAGCAGCCGTTCCTTATATGCTTTAGCCTCCAGTACCCTAATCATCTTTGTTGCTCTTCTCTGTACTCTTTCTAGAGTCTCAATATCTTTTTTACATTGTGGTGACCAAAACTGGATGCAGTATTCCAAGTGTGGCCTTACCAAGGCATTGTAAAGTGGTATTAATACTTCACGTGATCTTGATTCTATCCCTCTGTTAAGGCAGCCCAGCACTGTGTTCAGTATGATAAATCCATTTCTCAATCTTTTTCAGTCTTCTTAGGGAAAAACGAATGGATTACTTATCCATTCAGTCAGTTTTCTGCTGCTGTAAAAAAATCAAGCCTGAACTTCAGGAAGGCATTTTAATTTCCTCAGTCAGTTCTAAATCTGTAACATCCATATATCTCTTTCAGTTTTCTTCACTGAATCTATTACTTTAAATCAAATTCCTTTTGTGAATCTGATTGAAGTCCTGTTATTTTCATTTGGACATATTTTGCAACTTTTATTAATTTGTCAAATAGTTTTAAAAACATTTCATTTTGGGTTTGCATATTACACACCAACTCCTTTTGCTGATCATGTGAATTGGCACTTTTACCTTTTAATATGGCCGAGTCATGTGGAGATAATGTATATATGTGTCAGCATCCACTGGGACTTTGTTATGGAGTTGCAGCAGCTTTACTAGAGGACCCTGGAAAAGGTATATTTCTTGGTTGTTTGAATGTTGGTTTAGAAATTTTTATATTAATGTTGCAAGGTGAAACAATATTAAATTTTTAAAGCTTTTAAAACCTCAATTTAATATCACAGTGTACCATGTGACATAGATGAACGATTAAAAAAACTTTGAAGAATAAAATTTAAAAATGAAGACTTAATTTTGCTTTGTTTTGCAAGCAAATAACTATTTATATTTCTCCTTTATAGACTCACACAGGTGAAAAAGAGAAGATTTGTCCATACTGTGGGCAGAAGTTTGCAAGTAATGGAACTCTGAGAGTACATATTCGAAGTCACACAGGTACAGGCTGCTCAAAAATTAATACCCTTTTCCTAGTGTGAACTGCAACTATTCCTTATTTTGTATGACACCATACTCCAAGTTTGTACTTTTGTGTTAATGATGCATTTATTTCATATCTGTCTTTCATGCACAAGAATGAGATTTTGCTGATGTTTAATATAAAATTATTTGAATACACAGCACCCTTTTTTCCAAACAACTTTTCTTGGACTTAGAAATCAAGCAGAATCAGATGGGAAACCCCACGCATGTCAGGGCAATTGGCCAGACTGGAAACTCAGACAGTAAGCTAGAAAAAGGCAGTGACAGACCATTCCTGTATGTCTGCCAAGTAAATAGCATACATAAAGTCACTAAACTCATTCCAAGGTAATTTTAGTTTACCTTTCTTTTAGAGTTCTTGTAGTAGATCTTTGTATCCTAATGATTTAAATAGTAATATAAGTATAAACACACACACACACACACACACACACACACACACACACACATTAGACGTTTCTTCCTTTGATAGAAGTAGAACTGAAAGTGATCTAAAAACCAAGATTCTTCTATTGGACACATGCCAAAAATTATTTTAAGAATAATTTGACAGTTTAAAAAATTATATTAGATTAAAAAAAGGATTTTTTTCATATCTTAGATGTTTCTGTTACTAATCACTAGGAAAATTTCTTTATAAAGGTATTAAAATAGGAAATATTTAAAATTTTAATTCATTATAAATTTTGTTCAGATTGCAGTACTTTTCTTTCACTTTTCCTCCAAACTGTCTCAGATATCAATTAACTAAAAATTAACTAAATTTTTAAAAAAGTCACATCCCAGAACAAATATGAAATTCAAAAATAGCATCCATATATGCTTTACAGAAAGGGCTTGAATTTTACAGAATAATAATACAATTTGGTTGGAAGAAGTAATGAAGGAAATATAGCATTGTTGGAGAAATAGCAGTTGTCAGGCAACTAGCATTTTAATAAACAGCATTGCGGGAATATCAATAAAAAACTGAAAAACATTCATGAAATACTAAATGGAGAGTAGTTAGTTGAAAATAATACTAATAGGGGAGGTAGCAATTATCAGGGGAATAAGAGTCAATGCAGAAAATTAAAAAAACCACCCAAGTTTTTAAGGCAGAGAGTGGGTACAGCATATATTAAGTGGGTCCAACACATAATTTGATATAAGGGGGGAAAGGAAGAATGTGAGTTTTGGTTTGGTTTATTGGGTATTGAAGTACATGTAATCCTTGACTTACAACTATTCGTTTACTGACCATTCCAAGTTACAACGACACTGAAAAAAGTGTCTTATGACCATTTTTCACACTTATGACTGTTGCAGCATCTCCATGGTCACATGATCAAAGTTCAGACACCTGGCAACTGGCTCATGTTTTATGATGGCTGCCATGTCTCAGGATCATGTGATCACCTTTTGAGACTTTTTGACAAGTTAAGTCAATGGGGAAGCCAGAGGCACTTAACAACTGTATTATTAGCTTAATTTCAGTGATTCACTTAACAAATGTAGCAAGAAAGGTCATAAAATGGGGCAAAACCTACTTAACAAATGTCTCACTTAGCAACATAAATTTTGGGCTCAATTAGGATCATAATCCAAGGACTACCTGTATAATATATCAAGGGTTGTTGCAAAATATTTTGTAATATGTCACTTGTTTCAATCCAATTTTTTCTAGTTCCTCAAAGATTTTCTTTTGTTAGTACTTGTTGTTGGTACCGTTATCTTCCCAAACCACTAACTATACTTGTCTATGTTGCCTAATAGGAATAACTAGAACTAATAATTCATAGTTGTCATTGTACATAGCACAGAAATATTTCCAGAGTGAAATAGATATTCTAAAGCATTCTATTCACCACAGACTAACTATTATAATAATTGGCAAGCTGCTGAATGTTTTAGTGGTGTTGATTCCCAACTTAAAAGAAGAAGAATTGGCATATGGCATATAAAGTGCTTGTTAACAAATAGCCTTTTTATGACATTCTGTTCATAAATATATTTGGCTTGTGGGAAAAGTACATGTGCACTTACTCATTTGTTTGATAAGTTGTAATCAGTTTCATCTCACATGACCACCTGTTAAGATTAAAGCTGTTTATTTGTTCGATCCTTTTTGTAATTCTGTCTAGATCTACATTACGGTACTCAGAAGTAAATCTGAAATATTTGTATACCCTGTATGCTGGTACAATCTGTCATGCTTATAACACTCTACTACAATAGCCTTTATTTTACTACTATCCTTTTAAAATAGATAATTCATTATGCTAACCTAGTAACAGCATTGTAACTACTGCATCACCAAGGCTCATTGTAAATAAACTAACATAACATTGTAATTAAAAGCAATTCTTCTCCAAACAATCAAAAACTTTGGTCCATTTCTTCACTTTGTCAGCACTCCCTCTCCCTTTGAAGTTTTCATAAAATCAAAGAATTATAGAATCATATATTTTGGAGGAGCCACTGAGTTCAATCACTTGTTTAAAGCTTAGAATAAGACTCAAAATTAAAGCATCCCAAATGATTGGCTAGTATCTCCTTGAATATCTCCACTAAAAAGAAACTCTGAGAAATGGCTTCCATTGTCTAAACTTCTGAAAAATGGAATTAGAAAATATTAGCTACCATATCAACTATATATGATGTCTGCTTCAATAAAGGGACTCAAACAATGTTATTGAAGAAATAACACATGAAACAGTTGGAAAGTAAAACAAATTAGTCCCACCTTAGGTACGAAAATCAGGCTGGATGATCTTGGGCCAGTCATTCTCAGACCAACCGACCACACAGGAAAATAGGAGGGGAAGTATTATGTATGTTCGCTGCCTTGAGTTAATTATAAAGTAATAAAGGTAGAATAATCTAATCTAATAATTATACATAGACACAGTTATATTGTCAGAAAGTAATGAACTTCAGCAACAAAAACTAAAATAAGCAAAAATCTACTGGTTTATCTTTCACTTAATCAGAACCAAACTTTGTCGATTGTTGTACATTCAATATAACTTAAAGCTAATGTTTACAATTCTGGATAGCATTTTTCTGAAGATAATTTCAGATAGTAATCTATGTTAATATTATAAAACTGTAAAAAAGTCAGTTGATATTAAAATGTTGAATTATCTCCATGATTTATTCAGATTACTGAGTTCAGCTAGTCACAGTACAGTTTTATATACTCTAAAATAGATTTTCCTGATCTTATTACTTTAGTAAGAAACCCAAATGTAATATTTCATCCATTTTTTTGAAGAATGTATCTGTTGTCTATAAAAATGCTGTCATTATAATAAACCAGACCACTTTGTGACTTCTGCATTCCTAACCTATTCAGGTTGTTTATCACTGTCTAACTTATCTCTCCATGACAGTTAAATTTTCAAAAGTACCTGTAAAGTTTCAGGAAACTGTCAGCTTCCAGTTAGTTTGCTACTAATGGATGGGAGAGATTCATAATTTCAAAGAATATCTTGCTTGATTATCTGTGACTTCTTTAGATCAGTGAATAACAACACCTAGTAGGTTGATGATTGGGAAGAAGTATAAAAATAACTAGCACTCCATATGGGTCAAATATTCTAAAGCTTTAAGTGTACAACTGATTTCTTTCTTTTAAATATACAAGGGCACAAATCAACATAGAAATATGCTTATGTCCATTAAAATTAATAGTTTTAAGTACTTATACACTGTTTTAGATTACACCCCAAAATACAACTTTGACTCTTAATCTAAACAGATGATAGTTAATGTGAAAATAAATATTTGATTTTTAAACAAATATGCATTTGACTGAGATGCCTAGCTCCATCAAGTTTTGTTACTCTTTATATTTCTTTAAAATCTTTCTCAATAAGTGGTATGTTTTATACCATAGTAAATAGTGAGTATTGCATTGGACCATGGTTGTCTTACAGATGATTTTATTACATCATTTATTGCTGAACTCCTAGAGTTCAGTATTACACCATATACTTGATGCCTATTTTTAATGCATCTAAAATATCAATACTCTGCAAATTCTTGAGCTGTAATACCTGCAATACCTGTAATACCTTCTTAAACCTGTTCTAAGGCAAAAATTCATTTAAGGCTCATTAGTTAGCTGGAATTGGTTTAGATTATTTATTTTTGGCTTGTAAAAATTATCTTAATTGAATATTATTATATTTTCCACTAATCATTTTATAATCACTGTTTGTATAATGGTACAAATTTCTTATCTGAATGTTATTCCACTGACCTGTTTTATAATAGCAAATTTTATATCTCATCTTTTGATTTCCACATCACCTATACTCTTGATATTTCTAGGATAAACAAGGAAGCAAGGAAATTATTAGACAGCTGGGCTAAGCAATAGTATGATTAAAATGCACATAACACAGAGTACAGTAGTAGATTATAATAATTTGTTTACATTACAATTTTATGCTTAACTTAACTATGAAAATAGCTGTTGTCTAACAACTTATTTATTTATTATTTTTCTTCTTTCTCTTTCCCTTAAAAATATATCATATGTTATTTAGCAAATTTCTTCATGATTGTCACAGAAGCTCCATTAGCTTAATTGACTTTTCTAATCTCTTTGAATATATCTTCATGGTTTACAATGTTATTTGCTTTTCCTTTAATCACACTGCCTGTTGTGATTGCTACTCACTGTTGTCAATTGATCACACTATCTCAGCTTAGAAAAACCCTCTTATAACTTCTTTTGTAAGCTGCTGCATTGATCATCTGGCAGGAAGCACTGAATGTGCAATCCAGATGGCTTCTTGACAGTCTCACCTCTCCTGACCTCATGCCCAATAAAATTATCTTGATTTTGCAAATAAGGTGGATTTTGCAAACTCCAGTTGGAATTGTTGACTTTTTGTAGTGCTAGAGCACCAAAGAGTTTTTTTTCCCCTTAATCTGATTTAGGTCATTTGAGGATTTTTATTATG